TTTCAAAGATTCAGATTGAAAAACTGCAGTGTCTCTGTATGCTGGTTTGTGTGTTCTCCAATACAACTCTCACAACGCTTCGCTGAACGTACTCGCTCTCCCAATGGGGAGCTTACTTAACATGTTTGCTTATTCTCAGCCATTAAACAATAGCTCAAAAAGAGACATTTTACCGTACTCCTAAAGTGCACTGAGAAGCAGCACTAAAGGGGGAAGGAAGTTTCACTAAAGGCAACCAACAAAAGTGTCACAATAGCCGTCACTTATCTGGCCCTTGGAAAATAAGCTCAGAGGCCAAAATTAAGTCTCCTTCAAGTCAAGCTTGATTCCTCATGACACGGAGATGGCTGAACAATTTTCTTGCCTACAGTACAGAAGGAACCCTCTGCTATTTTCCAAGACATTTCTCAACTTCACAATCTCTGTTGCTAAGCTCCTGGGATTCCCTGGTAGCCTCAGATCAAGGTACTAATTGGGCCTGATACTGCTTAGCTTTGGATGCTAGATAAGAGGACCCAGGTATTGCCACCTACTGGGATAATACGGTTGGCAGTTCTCGGTTCATGGGATGGCAGAAAGGAGACTCTATCATCTGACCTGCTTCACATCGCAGCCTTTCTACACCCCTTCAAAATCTGCTCTGTAAGATCTGAGAAGTCTGCACAGCAGATTTTAAGAGTGGGAAGTGGAAAGGGGAAATCACACCCCTTCTGCTCCAGTTACAGAAACCTACCTTTGGCTAATACCCACAGAAAATTTTGAAGGTCTGCATGCCAACTCTGTTAATGGTTTAATATCAACACTGGGTTTTCTCAATATCTGCTTTTAAGGAGAATGTAGCCCTAGTCACAGAAGCTTCCTGGACAACTTGAGGCCAATTGCTTTGCCCCAACACAACCTATTTCAGTTGATGTTCTGGGCGGAAAACAGGGAGAGTTCCACAATGCTATAATGCCTACAGTACAGAGGTGGTATACAGCAGGTTCTGACCAGTTCTGGAGAACCGGTAGCAGAAATTTCGAGTAGTTCGGAGAACCGATAGATACCACCTCTGACTGGCCCTGTCCCCATCTATTCTCTGCCTCCTGAGTCCCAGCTGATCGGGAGG